CCTGGGACACACCTGGGGACACCTGGGGACACCTGGGACACACCTGGGGACACCTGGGGATGGGTGTGATACACCTGGGGACAGCTGAGACACACCTGGGGACACTTGGGGGGATATGGGACACACCTGGGGACATTGGAGCACACCTGGGGACAGCTGGGGACACCTGGAGACCTTGGGGACATCTGGGGACACCTGGGGACACCTGGGGACACCTGGGGACATGGAGCACCCACACAAATGTTTTTGGGGTTCCTGGAGAGGAATTTTGGGTTCCCAGGTGGAATTTTGGGATCCTGGAGAGGAATTTTGGGATCCTGGAGAGGAATTTTGGGTGTTCTGAGGTGTTTTGGGGGTTCCTGGAGAGGAATTTTGGGGGGTTTAGGAATTTTGGGGTCCTGGAGAGGAATTTTGGGTTCCTCAATGGGAATTTTGGGGTTTTGAGGCGATTTTGGGGTTCCTGGAGAGGAATTTTGGGGGTTTCGAGGTGATTTTGGGGTTCTGGAGAGAAATTTTGGGTGTTTTGAGGCGATTTTGGGGTTCCTGGAGAGGAATTTTTGGGGTTCTGGAGAGGAATTTTGGGGGTTTTGAGGTTCCTGAAGAGGAATTTTGGGGTTCCAGGAGAGGAATTTTGGGGGTTTTGAGGTGATTTTGGGGTTCCTGGAGTGGAATTTTGGGTGTTTTGAGGCGATTTTGGGGTTCCTGGAGAAGAATTTTGGGGGTTTGAGGTTCCTGAAGAGGAATTTTGGGTTCCTGGAGTGGAATTTTGGGGGTTTTGAGGCGATTTTGGGGTCCTGGAGAGGAATTTTGGGATCCTCAATGGGAATTTTGGGGTTTTTGGGTCGAATTCCAGGACGAGAATTCCAAAATGATAATTAATTCAGGGATGATAATTAATTCAAGGATGATAATTAATTCAGGGCTGATAATTAATTCTAGGATGATAATTAATTCAGGGATGATAATTAGTTCAAGGATGATAATTAATTCAGGAATGATAATTAATTCAGGGCTGATAATTAATTCAGGGATGATAATTAATTCAGGGCTGATAATTAATTCAGGGCTGATAATTAATTCAGGGATGATAATTAATTCAGGGCTGATAATTAATTCAGGGATGATAATTAATTCAAGGATGATAATTAATTCAGGGCTGATAATTCAAGGATGATAATTAATTCAGGGCTAATAATTAATTCAGGGATGATAATTAATTTAGGGCTGATAATGAATTCAGAGCTGATAATTAATTCAGGAATCATAATTAATTCAAGGATGATAATTAGTTCAGGGCTGATAATTAATTCAGGGCTGATAATTAATTCAGGGCTGATAATTAATTCAGTGATGATAATTAATTTAAGGATGATAATTAATTCAGGGCTGATAATGAATTCAGGGCTGATAATTAATTCAAGGATGAGAATTAGTTCAGGGCTGATAATTAATTTAAGGATAAGAATTAATTCAGGGCTGATAATTAATTCAGGGCTGATAATTAATTCAGGGCTGATAATTAATTCAGGGCTGATAATTAATTCAGTGATGATAATTAATTCAAGGATGATAATTAATTCAGGGATGATAATTAATTCAGGAATGATAATTAATTCAGGGCTGATAATTAATTCAGGAATGATAATTAATTCAGGGCTGATAATTAATTCAGTGATGATAATTAATTCAGGGCTGATAATTAATTCAGGGCTGATAATTAATTCAGGAATGATAATTAATTCAGGGCTGATAATTAATTCAGGGATGATAATTAATTTAGGGCTGATAATTAATTCAAGGATGATAATTAATTCAGGAATGATAATTAATTCAGGGATGATAATTAATTCAGAGCTGATAATTAATTCAAGGATGATAATTAATTCAGGGCTGATAATTAATTCAGGGATGATAATTAATTCAGGAATGATAATGAATTCTGGGCTGATAATTAATTCAGGGCTGATAATTAATTCAGTGATGATAATTAATTCTGGGCTGATAATTAATTCAGGGCTGATAATTAATTCAGGAATGATAATTAATTCAGGGATGATAATTAATTCAGAGCTGATAATGAATTCAAGGATGATAATTAATTCAGGGATGATAATTAATTCAGGGATGATAATTAATTCAGGAATGATAATTAATTCTGGGCTGATAATTAATTCAGTGATGATAATTAATTCTGGGCTGATAATTAATTCAGGGCTAATAATAAATTCAGGAATGATAATGAATTCTGGGCTGATAATTAACTAATTCCAGGCTGATAATTAGTTCCAGGATGATAATTAATTCCAGGCTGGGAATTCTGGGCTGATAATTAATTAATTCCAGGCTGTTAATTAACTCCAGGCTGATAATTAATTAATTCTGGGCTGATAATTAACTCTGGGATGATAATTAATTCCGGGATGTGAATTTTAGGATGATAATTAATTAATTCTGGGATGATAATTAATTCCAGGATGAGAATTCTGGGG